TGTATGTTCTTCATTCCATCCTTTAGTATTAGTTTTTTTAAGTAAAACTTGGATTTTATGTCTTTTCTTTGAAAGATTTTCAATAAATCTTTTTGCATAGTTTAAACATCCTAAAATTTTTTGAATTTGTTCTTTGGATTATAATTTATCTGGAAAACTTTCTATCTTTTTGGATATATGAGTCTGTAATTTTATCCCTCTTTTATCTATTGATAATCTAAGAAAGTCTATCTCTTTTTTTCTATTATACATTTCTTTTTAGATAGTACAATTTCTTCTTTTTTATAGTACAATTTCTTCTTTTTTACATTCTTTAATAAATTGGATTAAATGATTTCTATATTCTTCTTTACTATTAGAACATATTAATATATCATCTATATAAATAATTAGAAATTCATTAAACTTTTAAATATATTATCCATATTTCTTTGATATATTTGTGGTTCATTTTTCAGGCCAAAATGACATAACTAACCATTCATATTTTTCTTGAGGTGTGCTAAATGCAGTATATTGTATACTACCTTCTTCCATTTTTATCATGATTTACAATCTAATTTAAAATAATATTGTTTTCCTCTTGCAAGATTTATTAACACTTCTTTATTTGATAGAAAGTAACCATCAAATTTAGTATATTTGTTTAATTCTTTATAATTTATGATCATCCTAACTTTTCCTCTAACTTGTTCAGAATGTTTCATAATCATAAAGGCTGGATTACTATGAAATCCATTACTAGGTCTAATAAGTTTTTGTTCTAACAATTCTTTTATCTGATTTTTAAATTCTTATGTATCTTCTATAGTATACATCGTTGGTCTAACTCTTATTATAACATTTTCTGTTAATTCTATTTGGATTTTTGGTGATGTGATTTCCAAAATAATAATCAATTTTCTCCATAAACCTTTTCTAGTTGTTCAATAATTTTTTCTATATTCATTTCTATTTCTGTTTTCATAACTTTTTTATATAATATTCTTTTATTTTTTATTTCATTAAATATGTTGCGTGTTGTCACACCTGTCCTATCCACCTGGGCCAGTGGGCCACTCATCCTGACCCACGTGGCATTCCTGCCGAGGTGGCCATATTGCCGAGGTGGGTTACATCCGAACTGCTTCTAACCGAGGCTCCGTGCCCGAGGCGTGGAAACTCTTGGTTGTAGCTGAGGTCCTCGAATGGACGAAGCCCCGGAGTTGATGTGCAAGCCTCAACCACAAGGAAACATCCTCCATGGTCACTTCTCCCAAGAGATCGCCTGCACAGATCTTATTCGAATGATTGATGGAATGTCTGTCATAAGCATAAAGGTCAAGTCTTGTCACTAGCGTGGAGGACCTGCACAAGCAATAAATGCGCCGTAAGCTAGCAAGTCAAATCCCATGCCTAAGAACAGACGTTTAAACTAAGGAGATGAGGCCACGTGCCACTTCATCCAAGGGCCCCCATTCCATACGTATCACTATAAATACCCCCATTGTATAACGTCAAAGGACTAATGCAAGAATCAATACTAAAGACTACATTTTACTCAACTCTCTCCCATTTTACTGGCAATACACAAATCGAGTTTATACATTTTTGCATATATCTACGAGCACCGGTTGGTAATCATTGTACAACCGGATTACGAACAACCCGCCGGATCCCGAACGTCACCGTCCCGCGTCGTTAGGCTACTCCCACGCCCCTTTGAACCGCACGTTTAGACCGTCCACGTGTCTTAGCGTGCTAGACATTCGCCCACGCAAGCGCGGGTGGGACCGACATCTGTTGGTGCACTTTTTGGGGTCAACAAATTGGCGCCGTCTGTGGGAAACCATACCATAACCACGAGCAACCTTGTGGTAAAAGCTTGCTGAAAAAACATTTGGGCAACCCCTCTTGAAAAAGGATTTGTTCTTGAAAGAGAACAGGAGAAACCTCTACCACTTGGAAAAATCTAAGTTGAATAAAGGAAAAATGAGTTCTAATGAAGATACTCCCCCAAGGAGGGTAAGAGAAAATACAAATGTGCCTCCCCAGCCTGCTGCCCCAGCAGCTCGGCAGAGGCTCCACCACCACCAAAGGAGAGGTGGGATGCGTGCGACGGCACGACTATCAAGAGAGATGGCTACTATGGCAGCCAACATGAGGGATATAACCAACCAAAACTTGGCCATGATGCAAGGCCAAGGAGGTTTCCCCATTCCTCCATATGCCCCCCATGGGCACTATCAGCAAGAGGATGAGGTCCAAAGTCATAGGGCTGCTTCGCCAGACTATGGCCGAGGTGAAAGTCCATTCGAAAGGGAAGTGGGAGTTGACATTTCCTCCAATTATGCATCTGGCCGACCCTCCGAGGTCCAAATGAGCCATGATAACTTTCCACCTCCGTATGAGGAAAACCCAAGACAGAGGAGAGCAGGAAGTGTTTTTGACAGAATCAGCCCTGCTGAACCAAGGCCCAGTCAACAGCAGGCTCAGCAGCCTCGGACGAGGCCACAGCCTCCACCTCCGATGCCCCAACAGCCGGAGAGAAGGCATGAAAATGCCCCACGCGCTGTCTCGCCTAGAAGTAGGCCGCAAAGGAGGGAGGAAGAAGCTAGGAACCGGCCAGGACCCTCTCACCAACAACCTAGGTACGAGGCTGAAGATTACGATTCTGATGAGCAGCAGAGGTCCTGTGACTTAGACGATGATGATGAGAACCTGCCATTCTCAAGAGAACTAAGAGATGCCCAGGTCCCGAGCCACTATGTCATGCCGAAAGTACCAAAGTATGACGGGAGAGGTGACCCAGAAAAGCACCTCAACGCTTACAAAACTCACATGAGCCTGAGGGGCGCCACCCCAGCTGTGAAGTGCAGAGCATTTCATTTAACCCTCAGTGGAGCAGCTGAAATCTGGTATAGTAGGCTACCATCTGGGAGCATCCGAAGCTGGCCCGAGTTCAAAACTACCTTCTTGAAGAGGTTTGCAGTGAGCAAGGAAGGAGAGGCCCCCATTCAGCGTCTTCAAGACATGAGACATGCGCATGGCGAGTCCTTGAAAAGCTTCCTATCCCGCTTCACCGACGAGATGACCTACTGTGTACAAGTCACCGACAGGGAAGCACTATCTGCATTGAGAGGAGGATTGAACATGAACACCCTATTCTGGAGGGATGTGCAGAATCAAGACCCAACCACCTATGACGCCCTACTAGAGATGATGAGAAGAGAGATAATCAATGAAGAATTGATTGAGCATAGGAATAGGGCAAGCAGGGGCCTCCCACCTCCACTGAGACAGCGAGGTAGGGGGCCGACCTCCCACCTTATGGACTACCAGATGAACCGATCTGGAAATGAGAACTCTGGCCAAGCCCTGGCCACCACAACTCTGAACGCGGTACCAACCTTGGCGTATGAGGATGTCAACCCAACCGCTGACCCATATCAGATACAGGCCCAGCAGGGACCCCGTAGAAGGGGAGGCCGAGGTCGAGGTCGGGGTTTTGCACCTAGAAATAGGTCCAATCCGAACCTCCCTGGATACTGTTTGCACCATAGGTCCTACGGGCACGACACCGTGGATTGCAGAGACTATGCACACTTCTCGCGGCAGGAACCCGCCAGGGAAAGACATAACTCGCCCCAGGCCAACAGGCCCCCGCCCAGGCAAGACAACCGACATGGGCGTGAGGCGGCCGCTCCTCGTCAAAGGGATGTCTCCCCAAGGCGAAGAGAGCAAGACACGGAGAGGCCCAGGGAAGGGCGTAGACACCGAAGAAACAGGCAAGCTCAAGATGAGGCCCCTATCCACGAGATAGATACCATATTTGGAGGCCCTTATGTTGGCGACGAAACACGGAACACCAAAAGAAATTATGCTAGGGAGGCCAAGCACCCCTCTCTGACAAGCTACATTGTGGATAGTAGCTCTCGAAGAAACCAAGTATCACCCATTATCTTCACCCAGGAAGACGCCGAAGGAGTTCATTACCCCCACTGCGATGCGCTGGTGGTGAGAGCTGTCATAGCCCGAAATGGGCTCAAACGAATGCTAGTCGACAACGGCAGCTCCGTCAACATCTTGTTCGGGTCCGCCTTTGACAAGATGCTATTGGACCACCAGTTGACACCCACCACTACTCCATTGTACGGATTTACCGGAGATAGCATCACTCCGAGGGGAAAGATAACACTAGCAGTAGAGATGGGAGAATCTCCCCAAACTACGATGAACTTTATGGAGTTCCTCGTAGTTGACAGCCGGTCGGCTTACCACGGAGTCTTGGGTAGACCGGCCCTAAAGGAATTGGGAGCAGTCACCTCCATCCACCACCTATGCATGAAATTCCCAACGGAAAACGGGGTGGCAATGGTGAAGGGCGACCAGAGAGGTTCGCGAGAGTGCTATCTGAGCTCCATTAAGAAGGTAGAGCCCCGGGACGTCCACGTGATCATGGCTGATGTGGTCATTGCGGATGTCCCAGGTGACGCTCCCGCCGGCCAGGAAGATGTTGATATGATTGATGCACCACCTCTTCAGGAGGCGTTAATCGTTGATGAACTCGACCCCCGCATAATGGAACATGACCCTCAAGCGTCCCCTGTAGAGGAACTTGAGAGCTTTTCAGCCGACCCCCGAGATCCATCAAAGATGTTGAAGATAGGTAGGGGCTTATCCAACGTTTTAAGAGAAAAGATCAAGGAATTTCTAGGCAAGAACCTCGACGTCTTCGCCTGGAGACATGAGGACATGGTGGGCATAGACCCCAAGGTCAGCTACCACCACTTGAAAATCGATCCTAATTTCGCCCCGCATAGACAAAAAAGGAGAGCCCTCAATCCAGAGAGGTATGAGACCCTAAAGGAAGAAGTTCAGAAGCTCATCCAAAATGGCTTCATCAGGGAGGCCACTTACCCGAAATGGGTCTCCAACCCGGTCTTGGTTAAGAAACACAATGGCAAATGGAGAGTATGCATCGACTTTACCAACCTTAATAGAGTTTGCCCGAAAGATAGCTTCCCGCTTCCAAGAATTGACCAATTGGTGGACTCCACGGCTGGGCACGAGTTGTTGAGCTTCATGGATGCGTACTCCGACTACAACCAGATCCCCATGCACCCGGACGATGAGGAGCACACCTCTTTCATCACGGACCGAGGCCTCTATTGCTATAGAATGATGCCCTTCGGGTTGAAGAATGCCGGAGCAACTTACCAAAGACTCGTGAACAAAATGTTTACCGACCTCATTGGCAAGACAATGGAGGTCTACGTGGATGATATGCTGGTAAAAAGCCTAGAAGCAGAGAACCACATAGTGCACCTCAACGACACCTTCCAAATACTGAGAAGGTACAGGATGAGACTCAACCCCTTGAAATGTGCCTTTGGGGTGGCTTCCGGCAAGTTCTTGGGGTACATGGTCAACCAGCGGGGAATTGAAGCAAATCCCGAGAAGATTGAGGCTCTGTGCCAGATGAGGTCCCCTCAAAAGCCAAAGGAGGTGCAAAGCTTAACTGGACGAGTGGCAGCACTTAGTCGCTTCGTCTCCAAGGCCACTGACAAATGCCTCCCATTTTTCAAAGTGCTCAAGGCCGGGAAGAAATTCCAATGGACTGAGGAATGTGAAGAGGCCTTCCGAGGATTGAAAAGGCACTTGGGGCAGGCCCCCCTCCTCTCCAAGCCGAAGCCCGGCGACATCTTGCAACTATATCTCGCCGTCTCCAATGATGCCATCAGTTCAGTTTTGATTCGAGAAGAAGGGCCCACCCAACTTCCCGTCTACTATACGAGTAAAGCGCTCCTATTGCCGGAGACCCGATATCCCAATATGGAGAAGCTTGCTTTGGCCTTAATCACGGCCTCTAGGAAATTGAGACCTTACTTCCAAGCTCATACCATCCATGTACTTACAAATTTTCCCCTGAGGCAAGTACTCCAGAAGCCCGATGCCTCGAGAAGATTGTTGAAATGGGCAGTGGAATTAAGTGAATTTGACCTTGTGTTCAAAGCAAGGGCGGCCATCAAAGGGCGAGCGTTAGCAGACTTTGTTGCTGAATTCGCCAACCTACCCGAGGTGGATGAAATCATGGAGCCCGTCGAACCCCCCATGTGGAGTCTCTTCGTAGATGGCTCGGCTGGGGATGTCGGCTCAGGTGCCGGGGTTGTCCTCATCAGCCCTGAGGGTCACAAACTCACCTCGGCCGTGAGGTTCGGGTTCAAAGCTACCAACAATGTTGTAGAGTATGAAGCACTCCTTGCAGGCCTCAGACTGGCCAAGGAAATGCAAGTAAAGAAGCTACTCGTCAATAGTGACTCCCAGCTGGTTGTTAGCCAAGTCAATGGTAGTTTCTCAGCCAGAGACAAAACAATGGCCTCCTATTTGAAAATGGTGGTGAGCCTCATCCCATCCTTTGAAAAGTTCGAGTTAATCCAGATTTCCCGCATCGAAAATGCTCATGCGGACGCGCTCTCGAAGCTGGCTAGTAGCAAGGACTCAGAGCTACTCGCTGTAGTGCCTATCGAGCATCTCCTACTGCCTTCTACCGAGGCCCCTAATGTCATGTGGGTCGGTGGAATTCCCACCTGGATGCAACCAATTATAGCATATCTGAAAGACCAGGTGCTACCCACCGACAAAAATGAGGCTTACAAGCTGAGAAGGAGGTCAGCCCATTTCCTCTTCATCGATGACATTCTTTACAAGAGAAGTTTCTCCTCTCCACTCTTACGGTGTGTCGGAGGAGAAGAGGCTACATACATACTAAGAGAAGTCCACGAGGGAGTGTGCGGCAACCACTCTGGAGGCCTATCCCTGGCACAAAAAATACTGAGGCAAGGATATTACTGGCCTACCCTGAAACGGGATGCACTCGAATTTGTGCGAAGATGTGACAAGTGCCAACGATTCTCTCCCGTTCAAAGACGACCATCACAGGATCTGATTACGGTCTCCAGCCCCTGGCCTTTCTCAAAGTGGGGTGTGGACCTCATAGGCCCTCTACCAAAGGGTAGAGGAGGTGCAAGTTTTGCAATAGTGGCCATTGATTACTTCACGAAGTAGGTCGAAGCTGAACCACTGGCAAAAATCACAGAAGCAAACCCCTCCAAGTTCCTATGAAAGAATATCATTTGTCGGTTCGGAATTCCCTACTCGATCGTCTCAGACAATGGCAGGCAATTCGATAACAAGAAGGTTAGAGAATTGTGTGAAGATCTTGGCATAAAGAAGCACTTCTCTACACCTCACCACCCACAAGCCAATGGCCAGGTGGAAGCCGTAAACAAGACAATCAAGCACGTCCTGAAAAGGAAGCTTGATGTGTCCAAGGAGGCTTGGGTTGATGAGCTGCCCCAAGCACTTTGGGCAATCCGAACCACCACCAGAACACCAACCGGGGAGACCCCTTTCCTCATGGCTTTTGGGACTGAGGCGATGAGCCCTGTGGAGGTCGGACTCCCATCTCCACGGCGTCTGCACTTTAGTGAAGTGACCAACGATGAGCTCCGGAGGCTAGACCTCGATTTCATTGAGGAGAGGAGGGACGACTCCCAGCTGAGGCTAGGCACCTACCAAAGGAAGATGACAAGGTACTTCAACTCCAAAGTCAAGAAGAGGTCTTTCCGAATTAACGATCTCGTGCTCAGGAGGGTCTTTCCATCTTCAAAAGAACCCGATTCCGGCTCCCTGGGACCGAACTGGGAAGGTCCATACAAGATCAGAGAAGAAATCCGACCTGGAACCTACTGGATTGAAGACATGGACGGCAAGGTACAACCCCGTCCATGGAACATTGAACACCTCAGAATCTTTTATCAGTGAATTGTATCATGCTGGATGACTTTCCCAGCCTTTGTAATATTGCTATGGCTCAATAAAATGCGTTGATTAAATCGTTATACTACGTTGTAATATTTCCCAGCCTTACCGAGGCTCTAGCACATGCCTCCCTTTTTGGCCTTGCTGAACGCCAAGGGGAGAAGCCTCAACATGGCTGCACCATCCACCATATCTGGGATGCGTCGTGACCTCGGAGGAGAGGCTCGGGACCCACCACTGGGCCACCTCGCTTGAACTCCGAGGCTCCAGCACATGCCTCCCTTTTTGACCTTGCTGAACGGCAAGGGGGGAAGCCTCAACATGGCTGCACCATCCACCATGTCTGGGATGCGTCGTAACCTCGAAGGAGAGGCTCGGGACACACTACTGGGCCACCTCGCTTGAACTCCGAGGCTCCAGCACATGCCTCCCTTTTGCTTGCTGAACGCCGAGGGGAGAAGCCGCAACCTGAAGTTATGTTCATTTGCTTAAGTCCGAGGCTCACACAGTCAAGTTCATCTCCTTAAGTTGTGTTCATTTGCTTGAGTCCAAGGCTCATACAGTTGATTGGTTAATGTTAAGATACCAAGTTAAAGTTATTGAGTTTGTGCTTTAATCAACTCCTAGTCCGCTTGTTTAACGAGGCACAAAAAAAAAACTTGAGCTTGAGTCCGAGGCTCATACAGTTGATTGGTTAATGTTAAGATACCAAGTTAAAGTTATTGAGTTTGTGCTTTAATCAACTCCTAGTCCGCTTGTTTAACGAGGCACAAAAACTTGAATAAAGAACAACAATTAGTGAAGAAAAACATTGTATTAATATTCAAAAGGAATTACAAAGGAGGGCCGCTGGCCATTACACAAAGTACTGAAAAGGAAACCTAATCTAAGCCTGGCTGGATGGAGGAGCCGCCTCCACGCTTGGGGGTTCAGCAACTTGGGCATCAGTAGTTGCTTCCTCTGCCTCAGCACTTGGGGCTTCAGCATCAGCTGCCTCGTCACCGTGCACCTCCTCAGCTGGGGTCTGAGGAACCTCATCCACAAATTTGGACCTGAGTTGTGCCAGGTCCGAGTTGGGATAAAGCTCCTCCACCCTCTCCAGCACTTCGGCATAGACGAAGTTCCTCCAGTACGCGCTGAAACTTTTGTACTCCTCTGTGGTGTGGAAGTTGGCGATGTATGCCTTCACCGCCTCTTCTGCTGCAGTTCGGGCCTCTTCTCTGGCAGCCGAGGCATCGTTCATGTACCACTTAGCCTGCCCTTCGAGAAACTGACTGGCATCACGAGCGCCGGCCAAGGCGAGATTCGCCTGCTCCAGAGCCTCAGCAGTCACTTTCTGGTGTTCATTGGAGACCTCCACCTTCTTTGTCAAGGAGGCCACCTCACACTGTGACTCATATACTTCCCTCTTTAGGGCCTCGATTTGGGCCAAAGCAGACTCGAGCTTCGCCGCTTCTTCTACCCTCTGTGCTTTGGCCTCTTCGGCCTCGGCCTTAGCAACTTTGACCTCCTCTGCAAGGGAGGCAGCCTTTCCCTCTGAGGCGTGAGTCCTTGTCTGAAATTCACTTAATGCCTCCCTGCATTCGAGCGCGA